GTCGATGTTAACCAGCGTTTCAGAGGGCATACTGCCTCCGTCATCAGAGTATGAAGATTTCCGTCTTCTGGGTTGTTGCGCTGTGTAGTCTGGTCGATGTTAACCAGCGTTTCAGAGGGCATACTGCCTCCGTCATCAGGGCCCAGAAGACAGAAATCTTCATACTCTGATGATGGAGGAAGTATGACCTCTGAAACGTTGGTAAACATCGACCAGACTACACAGCGCAACAACCTAGAAGACAGAAATCTTCATACTTTAGTTTTATTACAAAACTTAGCCAGAATGGAAATATAGTTATTGCATGGACTAGGGCTGTAATTTTTTATCCTTTTCACTTCATACTATGAACCCGGTTAGCTCTGCCACTGAGAGGCGTTCGAATCTCTGCATTGTCACCACGCACGTTCACGTCGGGTGCAGCGACTACCAGGCCCCTATCGCGTGATTTCCAATACGTAATGTGGCTCTGGGGCACAGAAGCAACTTTACTTTACTGACTATCGCTTTATTGCCTAAAGCGCCACGCAGCGCGACGTAAGTGGGTCGGTCGGTCGGTCGGTCGGGTTTAAACCACTCTTGTTTCCACGTGTGGCATCAACGCTGGGCGAGCGTGATGAAATAACGCTACGAGGAGGGTGGTTCGTCTGTCTGTATGTATGTATGGTAATTTCCTGAGTGCATCGCGCTTCCAACACAGCATGACCAGCACTGTTACCCTCGTCTTGACGTATTTTTGCAGAATTTGTAAGGCATGTTATTGCTTGCGATACAGTTCATGTCCATTCTTTCCGTGGAATGTCAAACCAATGTTCAAAATCCAGTGACTTTCCTTATGGATTTTGTTGAGTTTTTACTGCAGTAACAAAATCAACTAACCTTGCGGAACAACACCCTCTTTCATAATTTCTTATAATCATTTTCAATTCAGACGTCTGTACGAAGGAAACTTGAAAGAGCAATTAAATACGAACTTCAGTGATATGGTAAGGGAAACGTAATTGCAAAAGTTACTTTCAAATTGCACAAAACTGGTGACAGAATCTTGTTAAGAATTGCGCAAGAAGGAAACAAGTTTTCGTTCGTTAAATTGCTACCACCAACAGAAATAAGGATATAAATTTCGTAACTGTGTTTAACAGAAGCTGAGGAAATAAGTATAAGCCACGTTAATTCTGGCGCTATTAAACTTGCAGTTGAAAATATTGAAAAATATTTCTTCCCACGAAGAGGCACTAGATCACAAAATGTGTCCATAATAAATTCCAAGCGACATCCACTATAAATAAGTTCAATATTATATTTAGCTATTTAAATCTGCAACTAATATGAACCATATCTGCGATAAATGAACGCAAAGGTCAACGAGGCATTCAGAAAGGAAAAAACGCTTCTGTAATTTCCAATGCTGTTCATTCCAGGAAACGAAGACGACCTGTAGTGGCTTAATGTTCTACAGAGGAACCTGCCAAAGCCCAGGCACTGCGTGAATGAACACACGAACAGAGACGGGTGATAAGGCACCCGGCGAAGTTAAAGTGCTGCACTATCTTGCATCCACTTAGTACGATGTGGATTTTCTAAACCTTATCACGAACATCTCCTCCTGCGGAATATTAATACACGGAGAAATCCACCTTGCGAATATATCCGAACAAAAAAGGAAGAGTTTAGAAGAAATGCCATCCCTTAAGTCTACAGAAAGTTTATACAAACAGCTTTCAATGGAGTATCAAAAGAACACAAGTTCAATAAGAAACAGGTTAAGAAGATTCTTGATTAAAATAAAAGTGCATGCGATGCATACTTAGACATAATAATAGGAGTGTAAAACCAACAGATTTGCAAGTGTCTGCGGGGTCTTGCCATGCTTAAATCTTCAGTCATTTGTTTTAAGGCAAACATTGCGTAACGCTTGTCGCGTACTTCAAGCTTATCCATATCACTCAAACCTGTTTAAGCACCAAGACATGAAGAAGCATGAGGACGTGGAGGTAAAGCTCTACGCATTCTTGACATCGGCATCGTATTACATTAAGCACGAAGTTTTATGCGTACACGAGAAAAGAAGTTTATGCAGGGAGAATACAAGGAACTGCTGGTCTCAGTATTTATCAGTGTGTTTACTGTTCTATCCGTTACTTCCTTGTCAGGATACGCACTGCAAAAAGCTTCACGGACAGCAACAAGCGACTGAGATGCGAAGTAATCTTCCAGAGCGAACGATGTTATTTTCATATATGCACCATATCCGTACCTGCGCAGCCTCTGGGCATCTGACGTGAGAAGCGGCCTAGCAACAAGGCGGTCTTAACTCGAGTGTCACGTGAGAGGCTGGGTTAGTCTATTACAAGGGGTTGGACTTGCTTATGATTTCATTTTCTTATCACAGTACGTGACTATTTTTTTTGGTTGCGTTTTCAAAATTATACATTCTGTGTATGAAGAACGTATATTATATCACGTTACACGTGGATAAAATATAAGCTGAATAGGCTATTTTAAGTGGCAAAGTGTGTACGTTACGTAGTGACTGTAATTCTTTCAGCCCTTTTTCTCCATCTTCTTCGTCCCTTCGTTCCTAGGCTCATGGAGTGGAGGAGTAACGTTCAGATTGCTTTCCGTCCAAGGGAAATGCATTGATCCGGCGGTTTTACAATCCAGCGCGGGATTATCCCCCTCCCCAGCCGTACTGATTTATTTTCTTCTGAGAATCTGTGAAACGCGTAAAGACACACGCGTACCATAATTCTGTCCGGGGCACAGTCAACCTACTACGCGGTTTTGGACAGGACACAGGAAAACAGCGGTAAAGATTATCATACGATTTCCGTACCTGATCATTGCAGTGTTACTGTTGTTAAATTTCAGCAACAAGTGCTGTTAAAATGAACAGACAAAAGTGGTATGCGACTCTTGATTTTATGAGTGAAAATTTGTGCTGTGTAATGGAATGAACAAAAAATTCCACAGGTACTTGGTGTTGCAACTGAAGGTGAGTATATACTACCAGACACGGAAAGTCCATATCGACAGAACGCACGAAGAGTGAGTCACAGTATAACGCGAAACAATAAACAGCCCTGAACTGTACAAACAGTAAGAACAAGGAGATGCTGAAAATTTGATTTTGAAACCGGTAAGTCACGAAGCTGAAAACCCGAGATGACATCAAAAGAAAGAAGATAATCTTCACTTCATCCCGTACTGCAGAAACTGCCACGTGTTCGTTTCCGACCATCCTACAAGCCGAAGCAGTTACCAAGCCACAGAGTGCACATCGAACACACGTGCCATTAGACAAAATTAGGAATGAGCATGGCAGTTAATTGTTCGTTGGGGGTTTCGCCTTGTCTCATGTTAGTTTTCTTCTCTGTAATTTTCGACCCTTGAAACAGCAGAAATTTAATTTGTCTCAAAGTCGATTCGCCCACTTTATCCCTAATCCGCCTCACACCAATTCTCTTCACTCCCATGAAGAAAGACTGTTAATTAAACCCAATATCCTCCAGTAAGCCTATTACAAGAGCGATCCGTGTAACCCGTGACCAAAGCAAATCCCACTCATGGCACATGACTTCCTGTGGAACCTAAAAGTGGACCTACTTATTGACGTGCTGAATAGAGAACGTATTTTATTACCTAGCAGGACGATTTTATGGCAACGTCCTGCTAGACTTGTACTCGTGAGTTACCCGTTTTATGTATCGGCCCGGATCACCGGTTGGCCTTACTGATATTTCACGCCTTCTGCTGGAATAATATTTCATTAAACTATGTCACGACCACTTCCACCTAAATTTTTGATGCAGTATAACCTCTGCAGTTAAAACTCAGGTTAATTATCTGCCATCACGAACACAAACACGACAGGGGAAGGTGGACAGACAGACCTATACGTATTATATATGCGGTTTGTAATTGGGGCTACTAAAAGTTCGTAATTGAGGGCGATTTCTGTATATTTTTATATCTGTGTGCAGTGTTATAGTGCCTAATTATATACTTTATTGAAGCAGAAATGTAATTTTTTCAAAGAGCAATGATACCAGCTCATGTAACAGTCTTCGGAGACTATAATGATATTACTTCACCGTTTCTAATAACTAAATGGAACGGGTGCAATAAAATCGTGTACGTCCTGTTTTAAAATCCATCTAATTTCAGCTGAGCATCGATTACAGTGAAACTCATGAAGCTTCCTGCTAGCAACAGAACGGCGGTGCACCTGCAGCTACGCGCTCAGACTTCACGCCTCACAGTACTGTCAGAGAAGTTGCCGATGCAACACGGCGAACTCTTAAAAAACAAAACTTGGAAAACAGTGTCGTCATCAGTTTCATACCCAAACGACTAGACACAAGGAAATACGTTAAGAAGTGGTGGATTACAGAAGAATAATCTGTTACGTAATGATGTACCACAATCACGAAAATATTCGGACACATTTAGACCACTGTTGTCTCGGGTTGTGTGAACTTGAGCGCATCGAGTATAACAACTTAAGGCTATATTTCGTTACGTGCGTACTTATTTCTGTAACAGTTAACGGGGAACCACCCGTTCTACCGAGTCTTGTGACAAAACCGTGATGTCGTCATCGAAAGTTACGTTCATTCCACCGCTTACCTCACACGGTTCTCGTTAGTCACGGAGCCAGTTAAATTTACTACGCTGCGCTGGCAACATTGAAAAGTCCGAGTCACTGATCAACACAATTTGAACGATTTGGCTACACAACCGTTCTAATGGCGTTTACGTTACCTTCATCAAAGTGTTTCCAAAGAAATGCAACGTGGTGGATGGGCTACGCCACACTTGGATGCCACTTGGTCGATGGAGATCAGTAACACGTGGCATCCAACTTCTGCCTCACTCTAACAAAAGCGGGATCGATGTACAGCTTGTGGTGAAGGGTGTAGCTAACAAACACACTCACTAACTAACTAACAAATACAGAAGACGCCAGATGGACACTACTCTGCACTCATTGTTCGCAGCGCCTGATTCCTGCAACAGACAACAACGGAGTCCGCTCCCAAAATGATCATGCACGATCACGATCACGATCGCGATCGCGTCACAGAACAAGTCTCTACATCTCATTAGCCAACGTTCCGGTAAGTAACATTGCGAACCAGGTGGCTGAAATTACACTTAATTGGCAATGCCACGTTACTGCAATATACTGTCGTAATTATATCAAAATAAGTAATCAATCACAGTAAACACTTTTAAATACCTGACAGTTGCTTAATTGATGGATTACATGACAAATTCCCTAGACATAAATCATGTAATCATGGATGTAATTAACACTAATGTATACGGAATGAAAGCAGATGAATATCCGTTATCGCCCGGGTGTTCCTTAAAATTGTTCTTCTTCGTTTCATCGTGAATGCACTCAAGCCTTTTCGGACTTCACACACTCGTTTTATCTTTCCCGAGGTCTTTCTCTTGGTCTCGACATCCTTTGGTTTTGTACTGTGCAGGCTGTTTGGGTATCCTGTCGTCTGTCGTTCTATCCAAATGGGTTTTCCAACTTTCTGTGTTCATCTATTTTATTTTGTATCGACTGCATTTTCAAGTATTTTCTGATATGTCCAGTCTTAATATAGTATAGTCTACTACAGTCCTTAATCGTTCTTAAGTGTGTCAATCGCATTTCATTTATGTCTCTTGCTTAAATTGTCCAAGATTCGCTTTCACACAGAAAAATTGGTCCTGCTACTTATTACAAAATTCAGTTGCGTTTCCTTCTATATTTCATTCTTTAATGTTCTTCTTCAGGCACCATACATTCTGTCATCCTAAAAACCATCGCCTTTGTCAGTCAGGCTACCTGGCCTCCTGGCTGAGATTTGAAGCCGGAACCTCCCAGATAAGAAGCAGGAGTACCAATCACTAGACGGAGATGTTAATTAATTTTTATATTGTCAAAGCCCCTCCGCAAAATGTAACAGCTTTGAAACTGCCGTCTCTCTTCCGTCAAAGTTGTCTGTCCACACGTTCCGAAACACTGTAGAGAACGTTGGGTTCACTGTCTTGTCGTCAAGTCAGGGAATATGCCCTATCTTTTATATATTCTTGCGCGTTGTATAGCGATAGTGCATTATTTGTAAGCCCTTTGTCCCAATGTCCATTCGCCTGCTTCATTTTCAAAACTACTAGAACTGTAATAAATTAAAACCAAGACCACAGAGCAATTCATGTTCCCAAAGAACGCAGTTGGAAAACGTGTGTGGGCTAAGTCCAATGGAGTATACATTTGCACTGTTATTTTTATTCGAAATGTTTTCTTTATCCATAAAAAGATAGATTAATCATCGTGGATGTACATGTGGGTATTTCCCAGGTGTATTTGCATCAGTGTACGACCGTGATCGCTCCCGAGAAGTGCTCGATTGATCATACCGAAAGTTTCGTTCTCGCCCGTCTTCCTGTCGCAGTCAAACACAGCGATTGACGTAGCATGCAGTACACTCCTTACGTGAGACGGTACATGGACTTCTAAGCGACGTAACTTCTAAGCGACGTAACTTCTAAACCACGCAACTTTTACGTGACACTTCAAACGTCACTTTCATTTCTTAACACACTGACGTATGAAAATGTCGTTCATTACTACAGATCAGATTTCATAAGTTATTTCTACTTTCATCACACGTTATCAGTTTGACGTGCGTTTGTGCAAAACAGTGGCTGTCATTCAGTTCACCTTCCACCTGGTCGCGTGTTAAATCCTAAACGAATGCGTGAGTTTGGATGGAATTTCTTATGCTAGTCACTTGGAAGACCGAGAAGGAGAAAGAAAGCTAACATTAAAATTATCTGCAAAGTATGAGGAGAAGACGGCAGAAAAATCCTAGTTCACTAGGATGCAAGAAACGACCAAAAGGCTATAAACCACTCGCTATGATGATGATGATGATGATGATGATGATAATAATAATAAGGATGAGAAGGAGATGAGAAATGCATATAAAACTGCGGTCGGAAAAACTGAAAAGTAACTTATGGGACATGGGTATAGATGGAAGAAAGTTAAAATGATGTGTATGTATGGATTGGGTTCAAATGGCTCAGGATATGATCCAATGACCTGCTCTGTAGAACATGGTGATGAATCCTAGTATATCTCATAAAAGCGAGGAATTGCTTCATTGCTATATTTGGTGCTGAGGTGCTTAAATTCAGCTATTGCCAGATATTCGGATAGAGAGATCATTCCTGCAAATAACAGTTACTACCTAATAATAAAGATTCGCCATCATAAGGAACAAATCTAGCCACGAACAGTGCCCAAAGTGGATCGCCATTTGCATATGACAAGGCGAAATTAACGGAAAAGTAACTGTGCTCAAAAAGGGACGCCCCCCGAAAGTTAGAGTTCTTTACTAACAGGAAGTGGCCTCTCGAAGGGCAGGTACGCAACGAGAAACGGAAATTTCCGTATCGATATATACCGACCATCATTTGTTAAAAGAATTTATATTTAAACAATTTTTTCCGTGTGGAGGATCACGATGTCCCATCTGGTAGTAAAAGTGCGAGGTGTTAAGCAATTGGAAATTCGAAGGAAACCGAGAATCAGTAATGTCATTTGTTTATTTGACAGACGCGCCAAAGCAGCGGACTGCAGCAGAGTGGTAGTACCAGTAGCACCAGCAGCAGTAGCAGTCACCACAGAACTACTCCGCAGACCGCCACCTCTGCGGCCGATCACACCAAGAGGAACGGCGTGCCAGAGGGTCACAAGCACGTCTCAAAGTCCCAGATGAAAGGTACGAAACAAACGAATGTACCTTTCAGCGTTCGAAGTAAACGCATAACTCATAAATTAAGACCGCGACAGTAAATATTAACTTTGGCAAAAATCATGACTGCGCCCGCAACCGTGAATTAGACTAGAAGTAGCAAACTATTTTCCACACCAAGGAAAGAGACGATTCAGAAGCAGTAACTTATTTCGGATATGAAGAAAACGTGCTGTTGCTACGTCCTTATCTGACGTTATCATACCACAGCCTAAGTTTAATACGCGCCATATTCAGCTCTCAGTGTAGCGACTGGGGCTAGATGCTCGACGGAGGCAAAGATGTTTCGCTCTTCCACAATGACCACACTGGATCTAGTTTCCTGCCTAAAGAGTGTCGAGGGTAAAGCGGCCAGAGAGTGCAGCAGTAACGATAAGCAATTCAAAGAATACAGTAATTTTACAATTTGATTTCCGGACGGTTCATCTGTTCCACATTTTCCAAAGATTTATTAACAGTCTCCTGTGTCTAACATAATTTGTTCCTGCATTATGATGAAGAGACATGAGCATAATTACATTTTCCTTGCGTTTATTTATATCAAGCATCTAATACAGTTTCTGTGGTTTTATTTACAACGTTTATGTTTTAGTCGAACAAACAAACGCCATTAGCTTACATCACGCTTTCATTAACTGACATGACATAAACTTGACTTCGAATTTTCCATTTTATTTACACATTTGTTATCGACCTATAAATCCCGTCTGACTTCCAGGGTTATAAAAAATATTTCGACAGATGGAACTCTTTGACTCTCTTATCGCAAGGACGAATGCTACTCCTAATGGACTCAACCCACAACATTTACGTCAGGAACCTTTATTTACATGTGTGATGCGAGAATCCATATCTAAGATAAATTTTCGGTAGTTATTGAATGTGAATTGAAAGGTGCCGAAGGCCGGAAGTTTATAAAATTTATGAAGTCCGATATTGGACCAATACGAATCAAAATTAAATTCGGCCGACAACTTTTATTGCAGACGCCGAACACCACATTTATGGGATCTTAATATGCTGGCGGACAAAAACGATGAAAGTCAGAAATGCAGCCAGGACCTTGAATCAAATCCCTACGGAGACCGTCCTGAATTTTTTCTTTCTTTCTCGAAGCAAATGCCGTGGCAGCATCTGCAAACAGGTAGAAGGTTCGCGTTCGTAGTTCAGAGAGCAGAGCGGACGAGTGAGAAATCCTGTTTCCGAACGGACCGAAAAGAACATTGCAGCATACGAATGTTGTTTCTCAGTTAATCCTCTTTCTTTTCTTGCAGAGTTCCGTGAGGCATTCAGACTGTTCGACAAGGATGGTGATGGCAGCATCACTCAGGAGGAGCTGGGTCGCGTCATGCGAAGTCTGGGGCAATTCGCCCGTGAGGAAGAGCTCCAGCAGATGTTACACGAGGTAGACATAGACGGTACGTGTCCGCGAGCACACAGATATTGCCGACATTCCTACCAAGAATCCATTATCCGAGCAACATTCCTCAACGTCACTTACACGAGTCAACCAGTCAATAACACATAAAAGACGTATCAGGAAACAACTCTATTCCAGCAATTGCAATGTATTTAAAATGGTCTTTGAAATCACATATGTTCCCAAGTGTGGTCACATACTTATCCACCCATGACAGCAGCAACAGAAAATGAAATTGCTAAGAACTGCTAGTTCACTAGTGCATTCATGGTTAAGAATGTGTGGAGGCCATAAAACTGTGTACTGGAGTTAGTTATATGTAGGCGGCTGTGTGTTTCAGGTGATGGCAATGTGAGTTTTGAAGAATTTGTTGAGATTGTGTCAAACATGGGGGCAGCCACCGACCGGACTGCTGATCAGGAAGAGAAAGAGCTCCGGGATGCATTTAGGGTAAGTGCTTATTGTTCACTAAGATGTATTCATTTGAAGATTTCTGTCTTCTGGGTTGTTGCGCCGTGTAGTCTGGTCGATGCTAACCAACGTTTCAGAGGCGATGACCTCTGAAACGTCGGTAAACTCCTACCAGACTACATGGCACAACAACCCAGAAGACAGCCAACTTCAGACTCACTGCAGTGAAAACATGAAATCCTACAAGTTAGTAACACTTTTAATAAGATTCCATGAAGGTTTAAATTAATTAATTTTTAACTTGGCAGCCCGCAAGTCAAGAAAGGGAGAACGTGGTGTCTTGTTTATTTAAAAGGCTGAGAATGCCTTAATTAAATCCTCAACTAATACCGTTACAAGAATCCAGTGAACCTACATAAAGAGCAGACATACTAAAATAAAAATAAACTCATCTTCCACTTGAATAACTGCAGACAAATATATGCAAAAGGAATTTTCCATGAACTTATGTACTGAAACCTGAAATGCGTTCATGCTTCCTGAAACATTTTACAATGACAGAAAAATTAACCCACATTGATTTGACATGGTGCAGGTGTTTGATAAACACAACCGAGGTTACATCAGCGCCTCAGACCTCAGAGCTGTGCTGCAGTGTCTTGGTGAAGACCTCTCAGAGGAGGAAAGTAAGTGAATTTATAAATACATGCAGCACCCTATGCCTTTTACAATTTGGTATAAAACTTAACATTAAATTTCTATCAACACTTCTATATATTGTAAAATTCAGTAATTCTTGTCTTTAGTCACAGTATTACAAAGATTTGACCTGTGATGCCTTAGAGTTACACATTAGCTATATGGTTTACAAGGAACTTCTGTTTTCTTTCCTCAGTTGAAGATATGATCAAAGAAGTTGATGTTGATGGAGATGGTCGCATCGACTTTTATGGTGAGAATGAGCATTTTCATTAATAAATTTAATGTAGTCCACAAGTCCAAACATAACTGTGATTATATGTAACATCAAAGTTTTGAGTGACTTCATGCAAAATTCATGGTGGATAAAGTCACACTGATGTTTAATTTTTCTCAAAGTTCTTTAGTTTTCCCCTGTTAATCGTCATTTCACCACTGATTCACACTCATACTCATCTCGAGAGAATGTGTGAACGCAATGACCAAGCAGTAAACAATATTATACCCTCAATCATGGTTAAGCTCATTTGGCTAATTTCAGAGACAAGGTAGTTAATCAGTCAACTACCACCTATAATTTACATGAAGCCAGATCAAACATTTTTTTAAAGGTATAAACTATGGACATCATTAACATCCACACATTCTTTAAATACCACGTACTTTTAAATTTTAACACACGAGAATAGGGGATTTGAAACCTGTATTACAGGGCTGCCAGCCAGACTTTAATTTGGGGTTTACAGCTTAGAGGTATGTGGGTGTGATGCATGATGAGATAAACTGCGCGTTACATCACAAACCAGTCACAAATGTTAATTAAGTACAAGAATAGTTAGTTCAGACAACATGCAGTGTGATTAGGTTTTCAATGCTGTACTGGTATCCACAGTAAATGAACATAACAGCCAGAGATATATGCAAAACATAAAAAACTCACCTTGTTACAGAATTTGTCCATGCTTTGGGAGAGCCAGGGGAAGAAGAGGAGTTGGATGAAGACGAGGACGACAGGGATGAAGCTGGAGTAGTACATCAGTGAAAAACATCTTGGTAAACAAAGCCACAACCTGGAGACAAGACACTTCATTCTTACTGTGAAATTATGTGGCAGTCTTTAAATATTCTCTTTGCTTTATTCTCACATGTTACATAATTTATGTCTTCTTCCATATTGTACCATAACTTTAAAAATTTTCCAAGTTAAACTTCAATGAGTGAATTCATACAACTGACTGAAGAAATATTAAGAAAAAATATTTTTAAAAGTATCACTTGTTCAAAAATTGAATTACATCTCCTATGTTTGTATGAAATTCATATTCCCTGTTACACCAAACACAAGTTACCAACGTCCATATTGCACTTGAACACAGTACTACTGTTGAGTATTATATGTGAATTGAGCTTCAGCTGATCAAGCAATGTGTACTTAAATATATAAAAAAATGTGCCAACATTTTTCTAATGTAAGCATATGTATATGATGCCATTACTAATTATCAGATTAACATATTGATAAATGTATATTTGTGATTGTGTGCTGAATAAATAAAACTATAAAGCAACTAGATACTTTATCTCTTAAAATAAGGTTCATTTGAAATTAGAGACTTATGTTATGATATAAATATATCTTAGAACAGTTAGTGAACTAAATTTTGTAGAAGTGGTAGAGATATGTGTCAACATTTCAAGGGTTACCTTTCTTACATAAGCACACGGACAGTGTCCAAAAGTAACATTCTTGTCTTCACAAAAAAGGTTTAATTTTGTCAACACATCTTGTTCTATGTCTAAAACTGGAATCCAGGTAAGAGATCTGAGTTAAATTTGGGAGTACTAGACCACCATCTCCATCAAGTGTCAAGGTTATGAAGCTTTAACCCCACTCTCCTTATACACCTTCATGATGTGGTGTTCAAACACAGAGGCATATCTTTACCTTTTTATTGTTGTAATGAGAATAAATACGAAGCAACTAAGCTCTTCTACACAGATATCATTAAACCTTCATCATACACACGAATGTAATGCATGAAATAAATTAGCACATCACCCAAATTCTCAGATTACATACATGTATTTTTTTTTTATTTTAAAAAATACACATTATTTTGATTATACACAATTTATAAGCACTGAAGGCATAAATGTATTTGTGTGTAATATCCAAAAGTCAATATAACACACATATAAATTTCAGTTTCAAACCCAAACATTCACAACTTAAATATGCTGAATCACAAGCCTCAAACACAAATTAAAACAAAAGCATTCTTCTAATAAATGTATTATGGCACAATGGCAAGTATCTGCAGTAATTATCAAAGTATAATGATACAAAAAATATGCTGATAAATACAAGTCTGATTGTTATGGCACTTCTTAGATACCATACATCTTTATACCTGTGAAAAGAAAAATACAAAAATGCACCCTAAATAACAGAATTATTCTTAAACTAATAACATTATTCTGCTGAATACTTTTGCCTTATGTACAATCGTTCACTACAATCCAGAATCCTCAGTTCTTAATACTATTTGTCAACTAATATTACCCTTTGGCAAACAATTCAAGGATGAAATTTTATGCAGATGTCAGTTGGTCAGGTGATAAGTGAAGTGCAGTATTTTCTGTCTGGTTTACAGAGAACAGTTAAGTTTCAACATTTCAGAAACAAAAACATGCGACAGCCAAACTATAGTTCATGAGCCACATATAGCTATTCTTCTATCATGTCCCACTTTACTTTACGTATTTATGAAAAAGTGAAACACTTCTATACACACTTTTCATCATGATCATGTCTATATAACTGTATGTCTTGCATTCACTGACTGACTATCTCTGCTAAACATTTAAACTGATATGTGATGATTTACTTATAATTTCATAAACTGTGACACATTCTAAGCTTCAAAACATGGAATTATGTGTTTCCATAGGATAAGAGATCAAATAAATGTTCCATGCATTTGAGTAACTTTAAAAACATTATCTTGTCTAATGAATGCCTATGCTATATATCCAAAGTAGGGCCACCTCAAATTTGATACTGACCTTGCTGATTGGTGTGGGGATGTACTTATTGTTTTTAATTTGTGCTGTGCCTCAAAAGTTAAGTGGTAGTATTTTCTTTCCTTATATTCTTGTTAACTGTCAGTTTTCTTCCACAATACTTTATAACTATGGTATGTACCTGAAGTGACTAATAATGTACCATAACATACACCAAATTATCATAGTTCATGTAATGACCATGTATAATTTTGAGACATCATCTTTTCATATTACACTACTGTACTGTCCTTAAAACAAATTATTTGATCATTCATCAAGTGTATGTCCATAAAAGACATTAACTTTAAAACTTGTTCTTTGAGGACTGCATGCACATTTTTAAGGAGACACACGCTGCCAACTTGCCCAACTCTGTATGACCCTGTTTTATAGAGCTGCAATAAACTTCCTGCCATTGAAGCTTGTCAGTGATAATATTCAAACACGCAAAGACGCATACAACTGACATTCAACTTTCACATCCAGTTTATGTTGAGCCTTCAGGACCCTGAGCACTCCCAAAACAGATGTTTCAATGTATGATAGATCAACTTGAAGTGATGACATCTGGTGGCATGTGACCAGTGTCACCAAGTGCACGAAGGATAACACGCCCACTTGGCATCACACTGATCCATGTGATGCTAGCATGATGCAGCGAGAGTCGGAGCCAAGCTTCAGGTGGGAACTGCAAGGCCCTGTATCTCACCCACAGTACAGTGTTATTTCACCAACAAATAAATTAAGTGGGATTTTAACCAAAAAGACATGACATTATTCTCAATTTATGCAAGTCTAATTAAACATGACCATATGACCAAAGACAACTGAAGAAAATCATTTTAATTGATGCAACTTGTTGTTTCTATAGTTCAACACTACAGAATTACACTTATAACGATACCTTATTAAATGAGCAGCCACATTAATTCAGAGCAAAAGACCAATATTTAGGTGACAGAGATGGTCTCTAAAATCTGAAAATTTTGCAGCTGATAGCCTGAGAAGTTCTCATCACTTCTAGTCATCACAGAAGCTTCAAACTGTATATGTATAATACGCAATACTAAAAGCCACCAATTTAGTAACATATAACTTCAATGTAAGTGAATGCATATATATGTCACATGAATGAATGGCATTTACATCTATTGGATTTTGTTGTACTTTAAATTATAATACAGTAAAATATCATTATAAAAAATTGCATTTTACTTTGAAAACATACCAGTTAAAACAAAAATTGTTAGAATTAAATGTATGGTGCTTAGTGCAAAATGTGTCTAAAATGTTTCAAATTATATTATCATAAAAAAACATTGTTTCTGTACAAGAGTAAGATACCTTCTTACCCCTTAAAAAGTAAATAATTTTCTTCTAATGAGACACAAAATTGCAGTCCGATATACAATTTATCAAAGTCAAAGGTATCTGAATTGGTATTACTTTTCATATGTATCACACACAAACATTTTTTCCTATCCCTTTCACATGACTTGCTTTCTTATGTATAACATGAGAAATGTTTTTGTTACAACTTCCATCAACTATATTATATTTGTGTAACAGCAACGTAACCATAATTATGCAGCAAAATTCAACTTATATTCACTAATGCAAACAATTTAATTAATTTAATTTATTAATAACTTAAAACATTATAATATGTTTACATAAGGAACAGGATTGAAAATGGAAGATGTTCTGAAAAACTGAAATATTCATCAATCTAACATTCATTCTATTGACAGGTTACTATATCATAATATTTCCATCACTCACCTGCAGACAAAGTAACGTATGACATTGGCATGGCAAACCAGTATATCATAACTGTCCCTTTCCTGAGATTTCTCAGCTCGGTAGAAATATTTTCTGAATGCAGCCTCAATTCGTGCACCATCCTGGTAAAACTGCTGAAAAATACATTTAAAAATCTCGTAATGATATATATTATAATCATCAAAATCAAACCTAAACTTAACAATTTGCCATAAATTGCATGCATTATCCTGCATTAATTGCAAAAACATCAAACAATATAAAACACAATGAAAGTCTTACACAAGGTTCTGGTTTCCAGGAACCAATAGGGGGCTCTGGTGGTATGGGTGATCCTTCCTCCAATAAACAACAATCAGAGACAGGGATAGCAGGCAGTGAGCTCAGAATTATCTGTGCAGTCTCATTTGCTCTTGTCATAGTTGATCTGACTAATCTTGTATATGGCATGGAAAGTTCCTGTAATCGTAGACCCGTAAGTTTTGCCTGTTTCCTACCTGCAAATAAAAATACAGTTAAAGTATATCACAGTAAATTCTGTCTAAATTTGATCCCACCATACCAGAAAACTTCTCTGATCCCAAGAACAGAGAGAGGAAAACAACATGAAATTGCCTTTGATAAATGACAGCTGTTGAATGTATGCAGTAACTGAAAAGGAAAACAATAATATAACTGGATTCAGTATAAATTTCTATTCACATAATTTATTCCATACTGCGTCCAACCATCAACTATACATGAGTAGAATATTCTAAAGAACTAGCAGAAAAAAGGAAAAGAATGGAAGGAAGCAAGAAAGAGAAGAAACAAAACTTACGCTTGAATTACTGACTTGTAACTTGGATAATATATGTATGTGGTATGTAATTAGCAATATTTTTAGCAGTACATATCTACATTAAACAGAAAGATGTTTAGGTCTCTTTAATTTATATTTTAAGCAGCATTTATTGTACTAACACATACATTTTATAAAAAAACATTACATTGTGCATTAAATGGAATCCATACTGTATGTCTGCTATAAAACAGGTCCAAGTCTTCCACCAGACCTGACAGTTCTGACCAATGGTTGCCCAGCAACAAGAAGTCAAAGCTGTGGACTTCTTTCTTTACTTACATACCTTTTGATCACTGTTTAGATATTCTAGTACAAACATTACTGGCATGAGCATAGTTCTCTGGTTACTAGTGATAATGAACCTATTTATAGTAAGACATTCTGTAAACAGCATGTGTACCAAGGTCTGTTAAAATACGCTCTTCATCTGATTTCCCAGACATGTTATACTGGCCATGCCGAATCAGCAAAAGATGTCTCACTGCTTTTGGTTTGACTCTCTCTACAGCTTCATTGTATCTGTTATCATCACTTCCACCTTTTGATGGCTTTACAAGACTTGTTGGATCTCTCCTGTGAACAAAATTATGTTCTATGCAGTAGTTATCAATTTTGGGTAACAAGGTAACTAATGGGACATATTACTTTGCCAGATCACTCAGTTGGTAAAACTACAGCATCAAAGAGCAATGTACACCATAAAAAGGCTAGATTTTTTACATAAAATAAAACTACTCTTTGTCATGTAATAAGATCAATCCTGTTAATTTTCATCTTGAAGCTTCAAACACAATATTATGGTTAACTATTTTGTTTTAAATGAAAAAATACAAGCTATAATAAAATTTACACACAGACTGAATGTCAAATGACATGCACTCCATAATTTTACACATGGCTTGCAAAGAATTAATATGTTCTGCTTTCAGTAACTGCCAGTATTATTAAAGTTTAACAACATTTCAAAGGTAATTGCTGCCTCCATCATCAGGCTGATGATGGGGGGGCAGCAAGCACCTCTATATCGTCAGTAAACTTCTATCAGACTAAACAGTGCTACAACCCTGAAGACAGCCATCTTCATACCTGCTGCTGTAAGAACCTGAAATACTATTTAATAATTGTTGTGTTCACAAAAGCCTAACTGGAGCCTAACTTAGGCCAAATGAATCCAATGCACAACCTCATTTCCTAATTCTTTAAGATAAACTTTACTATTAACCTTATCACCTATGCCTTAGTATAACGAAATTTATGGCTTGATAATTAATGCATTTGTTAATAAAGCACTTCATAAGTAATTTTAAAATTATTCAATCGCTGTAATTAACATTATTTAAATTGAAAGTTAATGCAATTTTTCTGTTCCCTTTCTTCTGCACATGAAACTGCCCCTAACCTAACTTACTTGTCCCAATTTGAATCCCACTCGCAAGTAGGAGTGTAATTTGTAGTCCACGATGCAAAAGCTCGCTTTCTATCGCTATGAAAGCTGTAATAAAGAGTAAGTGCACCACCGCATGCTCCTAATCCTGCTAAAACAAATTTTTGAAACTTTGTGAACCCATTCATGATGTTTGTTTATACAACTAAATCCACTGTAATAACTTCCGGTTCACTATGCGAACTACGCATAATGTATATTGAGCCAGGGATTTTCGTAACTCGAAGGCTACCAGCGCGCCGTAATCAAACACAAATTAGCAGGAAGATGCATATAACTAAATGATACTAAAAACCTACGATTTTCGATTATTTGCAATAAATTATTTTCTAAATGCATTTGATGATAGTCTTGTATTATTAATTTCTTTGTACTTGTTAGTAGATGATTATTATTATTAATTTTATTCTTTTGTGCTGACTCTGCAATTGGCTCCTGTAGCTGTTAGCATTTTAAAATAAATAATTTGAATTTAATTATCATCATCAAATCACAATGTTTCAAAGGATCTTAATTCATCATCAAGTGTAAAAATGGGGGAGGCATCTATTCTGTTGGGTCCAATGTCCTGAGCTACTCTTGATCTGTAGGTTTTATTTAACATAGTAAAAGTAAAGTAAAGTTTGTCCCACTACACGCCATATAGGCATTTGGGGTGAGTGGAGGTATAGCTCCTCTCTTCCTTGACCTCGGCACTAGATGGGGTGAGTGGTCAGCATCACTCCCTGGCCGGCTTTACCCTCGGGAAAGGACCCCGGTACCCATTGTAGAGGAGGCTGGGTGGGCCCCAGAGCCGGTCTGGACGAAGAGGCTAGAGGAAAAATCCTCTACCCCCATCGGGTATCGAACCCTGGTCGTCCAGCCCATAGCTAGTCACTATACTGACTGAGCTATCCCGGCTCATTTATTTAACATAGTAGGTTAAGAAATTTGAAGGCCAAATCGGCACTCTTTACTGAATGCCCTCTAAAAACATATGAATCTACTGAAGCAACATTATTATACACTTACCAAATGGGTTGCACACAGAACCACACATACCAGGTATGAGGTGGGATTTGAGGATCTCATAGCAGCAAGTATGAGGATGCTGTCTTTTGGGTTGTAGCTCCACATAATCTAGTAGAAGTTACCAAACTTCAATCAGGCTACATTGTGCTACAACCCAGAAAACAACCATCATCTGAATAGGAGATTCTTATATATGCATCTTGATCAAATTAATTGCAGTATCCTACCATCACTATTACAAACTAACTAGAAGGCTTGGGGAACCCAAAGATTCATCACCGAACTAACCACAGCCCTCCACCAGTCCTAGTCCTGGGCTTCCTACAATACAAAATAAAATGTATGATCTGAAGTAATGTACCTAAAACTTGCACATCGCTTTAGCTATAATTTTTGCCTTGAAGATAGTATATCAATTATACATTACTGAGAGCTATAGGTACAAAACTTAATCCATTCATTCAGATTGTTTGTATGTGGGAAAGCAAATAAGAGAGACAACAAAATTATGGTAAGGTAACAAGACCCCGTTGGTCTAGAGTTACCACACTAGTTTAGCATTCAAAAAGTCTCAGGTTCATTGCCAGCCACCACCAATAGTTGTTAAACAAATAATATAAATTCTGTTAGTATAATGGCAACCAGTAATCTGAAGCCAGGACTAGAACCAACTTTCTAAATGTGGTGTAAATCAAAAAAGCACAGTGCCAAATATAAAATAAAAAGCAAAGCTTTCCCACTACATGCCATGTAGGAACCTAAGGGGAGAGAAGTATAGCCCCTAATCATTCTTAACATCTAGATGGGGACGAGTGGTCAGCATCACACCCCAGCTGTGCTTTACCCCTGGGAAAGTACCCTGGTATCCATTGGGCTCTTGAGTCAGTCTTGACACAAAGGCTGGAAGAAAAATTCTCTGCCTGTTGAGGGATTGAACCCAAGTCATCCAGTCTGTCATAAACTGACTGAACTGCCCTGGCTCCCAATGTCAAATACTGAAATAGTATGCTTGTCATTTGCAGTTCCAGCAGTCACAGTGTTAGCAGGCAGTTGATATTTAGTTCATACTATTAATTTTCTTAATTCAGTTTAATTTTATCAATGGATAAAACTACATAAAATGAATATACATGGCACAGTCAACAAATTCCCAGAGTCAACCTGGATACAGAGACTCTCAAAGAGTTGCCAGAGTGGCTGTGTCTAGGATGAGCCTAGAAATTTTTTGACTACATATATACATAAAATGAATACTTACTACAGGGGGAGCACTTATCACAGCAAGGACCAAATGATAAACTGTGAAGAGATATTTTTGGTTCATGTTCTGGAATTTTCCAACATGTAAATTGTGACTGAGAAATTCAGGGTGGACAAGCCATCCTACATTACCTTTTGATGGGTCTCTGTTTCTCATTCTTAAATGCATAATTCATTATTATTATTGTCTGTTTCTATGAGGCTATCAGGCAAACTGATACTAGCTATGTAAAATTACATATATTCCCTTTAATGCCATGGAAAATAAGAGTATTTTGCACATTGCCATAATCTGGAATACAGACATAATCATAAATTCATTCAGTCATCACCAACAGAAACTGAACTATAACTCACTTCATTTTATCTCATCTTTTTGCTTGTCGCAATATCATGTTCAATTTCATTAGCTTTCCTCTTAAGAATTTTGCTTGTCTCTGTACTTTTACCATTTATAAATCCATTATGTGTTTTGTTCACTGATTTCTCTATCTCACTACCTTCATTATCAGTTTCAACACTGTTCAAATCAGAGAATGTAACATTTCCAAGTCCTTCAGACAAAGAAGCCAATCGCAGTTCCTGCGCCTCTTTCCTTAACTTGGCTTTATCCTCAGACTTCTTTTTGTGCTTTCCTTTTTCTTTCTTATTGGGTTTTTTCCTGGCCTGATCCTCTTTAGCATCTTTGCCACCTTTTTGTGAACCTGTATCACTATCAGTGTCTATAACCCCAACATTTCCACCTTCCTCATCAGAATGTGACAGATAGGAGCTGGGTGATTTTCTTTCATTTGCTAACATCTTTCCTTTCTGAGTAGGTACCCTGAAAAGACAGAAAACAAAATTCACAATAATAAAAATATTTTAAATTCAACCATGTCAACAAAATTTGAACAAAAGGTTCAATATAAAATACCAATCCTAAATGAACTTAAAGCACATTAGGCCTTTTTTATGTAGGAGAAAACAAAGAAAGACCAATAAATATATTCTTTACAATCATTCTGAAGCAGTTAAAAACTGTGCAAAATGTGTCATGTTTTTTCATGGACATAAGGGCAACATAGTTAACTTATTCTGCTTATTCCATGACTTCAATGATCACAAAATAGTCAATTCACAAGCGTATACGCACATCCACATACTTGCAATGTATACACACAGAAAGGTGGATATTATCTTCCAATCTGCACCAACTGGTCTCTTCTGATAAGGTTTCCTGACTAAACTTTCCATGTATTTCTTATCTCTCCCTTTTTATGCAGTAGCAACTCTCTGATGTAGTAAAAGAAGCACATACCATTTAATACCCAAAACTCTTGCCAGTTTGTTGAATCCTGTCTTGGCATCTGCTGATAATTCAAATCTCTCCCTGTAATTCATCAGTGTCGATCCAAGAGCTGACCAATCTACATTGGGTCCTCCTTTCTTATCAGGGCTGTACAACTGCCACACAGTAAACAATAACGTCAACAACTGGCGAACAAATTTCTGCTTTACTCCACGTCCCATGTTATTCTTTTGACCCTCAGAGTTGCCCGCCACTTGAGTCTGCAACCACTAGAAACAATACAGTATATGAAAAATGTGATTTTTTTAAAATCATGCCTTACAGTTATTCCAAAATAAGACAATAATTTTGGAAGAGAATATAGAAAAGAGAAAATATAGAACATGCTCTGATGGACATCACAAGTTACTACAAAGAACAAACCAACTTTAAGTTGGAATAAACAAGAACCAACATTAATTTCAAAACAAGTATCAAATTCACTGTACTCACTCTGACAGCATTTTCTGAAAGCAATTTTTCTATTTCTGCTAATCTAGGCTCTACATTATGTGCCAACTCTGGAACAATCCTTAGTCTTCGGTTATTAAAGAAAGCAACCAGGAGATCTAGTGCTTGGTTTCGCCGAAATGGTCTGACTTCTGGATCAAACGCAAAATTAATGATAACTGGAACAAGTGTCCAATTGCCTTCCCACACATTTGTCAGCACTGATCTGAAGAGTCCAGGTTGATGAAGACAATCCCTAGAAGATGAAGGAGCAACAACTGTTAACAATGTCTTCTTTAATTTTAAAGAATTAATCTATAAATAAGAAGTGTAAGTGCTTACTTACCTTTTAGTGAAAAAGGTTATTAATGCATTCTTGTAAATTGCTGTAATAGGTGATGTTCCTTTGTATTGTTCATTATTTGATGCGGACTGCTGTCTCAGGTGCTGTGAGCTCCATACAAGAAAAGTGCAGCATTCAATCACTTTAGGCCCCATGTCCAGAAAGATGGGACCTGATGTCTTCTCTCCCTTTTCCATCAACCGTTTCAATGCATCTGCAATTGTTTCTTCTGTCACACCTTCCAGTGACACATTTTTCTTTGCAGATGACAATCTCTTCAAACATGATCTGAAAGCAAAGTTTCACATCACTGACTTATACCAGCCTTCTTCCGTTAAAAACAAAATTCAAGGTTTTTGCTTTGATCACTTATGTCTTTTAAGAGATAAATTAAAATCTTCCATAAAAAGAAAATGTTCTTCTTTTCTTTTAATCTTAAACAGGGGCCTTATTCATGCATCCCCTGACTGTTCATCAGTGAGATATCCTAGTTCTATCAAAGGATGAAGTAAGTAAGCTCCTCTAAAATGACAGTCAATATCTACAAGACTATAACATGACATCTGAGAAGACAACCATCTTAAATTCAGTAGTTCTATCATGAATCAGTTAGAAAATTAAAGAAATACTGAAGAAGATTGAGTAATTTCATTACAATCAGTCAACAGGAATATTATATATACATATGACTGTCATATTCATATGGACTGGGCACTTAGGTAACTTCTGTTTATAGCCATTGGGAATATACATTTAAAAAAAGTGTTATACATAATAAGCAAATTAATTATTTCAGTACAGGTAAGAACAAGCACATCTATTAATATTTTGATAAAACTGTCTTTGAAATTATAGGGTAATAATTTGTAATTGTTACATTTTAGAAAATACTTGGAATAAAAATTTATTTCTCATACCAATATACATTCAAGGGGCATATAGGCCTATGTGATCCTTTAAAGTACTTTACCTCACTCTGTTTTCTAGTGGTTTCTGATGCAGGTCTTTGATACAGTACTCCAGCAAACTGAACAGAACTAACATGATGTCAATGTACAATGACAAAGAAGCTTCTGTTCCTAAATGTTCTGATTTCATGTATATCTCTAGCAGATCTATTGCTCGAATCCGAAAGTGCATGAGCATTTGATCGTCATTTAATTGTTTCTTGGACTTTTTGTTTGTCCTAGAACATTTGAGCATGCTGAATGCCTCAGACAGAGCATTATCAAGACGTCTACCTTCTTCTTCATCCATGTCATCAATATCAACAGATTCCTGCAAAATACAGCAAATAATATATTTGCATAGGTCCTTGAAACCAACACAGTAAAAATGCTAGAAGTATAAAATCTCAATTTCTTTACATATAGTCAAAATGAAACATCATCTGTAACCCTCTCGGCCAAATGCTCAGGCATAAATTCTTATATTATGGTTCGGTAATCAAACATTGTTTTTATTTATTTGTTTTATTTAATGATGCTGCCAGTAACTCAGACTATGCTGCAGTGAATAAGATGATTTATGATTAATATAGTGGAAAGGATATGGAAGGAAATGGTCATGGCCTAATTTAATTAATTATAAAAGAAATCTGATCATGATGGTTGGCCTTGTACATAATTTTTGCAGGACACAATAATAACTATGGTACCGTGTCTGTAAGAGGCGCAGCAGAACCCAAAGCATCACGAACAGCTATCCGCAGTTTGTCATTTACTGTATCATTTTCTTCATCCTCTAGAGTAGACTCAGATTCTTCACTACCTGAATCATCATCTTCTGATTCACTATTTTCATCAATATCTTCTTCCTCTTTAGTGCTTGAGTGTGTGAGTGGATTATCTTCAGCAGTCGGATCCAGTACCTGAAATACTGAACATTAAGTGGCAACAAACTACAGTATTCTTTTGGAGATAATTAGCACACTGAAAAGCTGAATAAACATATGTTCTGCAAACTTATCTAACTTCAGCAGAGCAATAAGAATAAGAAGGAAAGGATATGAAATAAAGTTACAAAATATTAAGATTATGAACTTCATAATTTTGTTCTGTCCATTCTTAACTAATCATTGGGAAAGTAAATTCATCATTCACTGACATTTTTTCACGTAAGGATGATCTTATATCAAAATAATTAAGGTAATTTAAAGCTGGTGTCACAAAGTTCATTACAATATAAGAAGGAAGTGTACATTTTTTCATGAAATTTTAACCCAAAATTATGAAACCAACAAGTTTTAAATTAAGTTGTGTGATGTTAGTCAACACACCAAGCAATAAAATTACTATACTCTTAATAATACTACCAAAAACATTTACCATAAATAAGAACCTAAAAGATTTAATTAAATCCATTTTGAGTGAATTACATTTCTGCACATGAATAGGGGTTTTAAAAACAGATCTAAAAGATTAAAATAAATTTACATCAAGCACATACCTTTGTAATTTGACTTAATGCAGGCCCTGTGAGGTGTGGGCAGAGATGAAAGAAAAACATATCCAACATGTTCTTTGGGATATTTGAGCTTCGTGACAACAGCGACAAGATCAAATCCACTGCCACTTCAACCCACAAAGGTTCCTCTTCCTCATTCCCTTCTGTCTGAGCTCTCTTTCTTTTTTTATTACTTTCTTCCTGCTCCTTTTCTACCCTTTCATAACAACCATGTAACTCCTGGCAAGAAAGCACAGTAAGACAATCTGTATCAATGATAAGTCTCCATTACATATCCAAATGTTTCATCAACAAAATAATTACGAGCTACAATGGGTAGCGTAATCCCGTCATGAAAACTAGCAATGGCTGGGGGTTCGTCGTGCTGACCACATGTCACCCTATATCTGGTTGGATGATCGTTCACCTCTGCTTAGGCATGTGAACATGAGGCCAGCAGCCAAGCTAGTCGGCTTTGGCTCTCTGGAGCTGTTACGCCACGGATTAATTAATTAATTAATTACATGGTACACATCTTTCTTGAAAAGGTCAGTTATTGAGATGGCAAATAAATTTAATTTTTGTGGAACTTGAAGGCTCATTACTGTCTTCACAAAAATCCACCTTTGGAAACTGCTCTAGGCCAGTCGCATGCAGTCAACATTTTCACATACCATTTCTCTAACACTCAGTTTAATATAAACCTCTCACCTGCATCTAGGGCTCATCAGTAGTCTCTTTCCTCAAAGATTTAACAAAATGTACAGATATTTATGCCCTCATGTATACTACATGTAATGCCCATCTCATTTAATTTAATCACCCTAACACAAACAAATTAAATGTAACTATATGACAGTTATAGTAACCATTTATACATCACTGACAATTTGTGTAGAAACAGACCTCCAGGGCATCCTGAGCCATTTTGGGGTCTGCCAATAGTTGGAGGCCCATGTACAAGAACATGGTGTGAAATACAGGGGCCAACATCACTCCACTCCCAGCCTCAATCTCCTGTTGCAGTCGGGCAGATGTTTCAATTAATTTTTGCCATGCACCAAGTGTCTCCTGTGTCAATGGTTGCCTAATTAAAAATGTCAGTTATGTTACATGACATGATTAGCATTCAATATACATAAAATAACAAATAAAAACTGTGAAAAATTTCATTAAATAACATCATAAATAAGAAACAATACCTCTCGGCAAGATATAAAGGCAGATAATTAGTAAAAGCACTAGTTATTCCATTAACAGAGGCTTTATAAATATATAAAACTATTTAAAAATACATAACTTCTAGAAAGTTGATGTCAACTGCTATGGTATGCAGTATGGTTAATTTACGAAAAAATTACATCACAGTTACAAGGTTACTCCAGATTATAATTTTATTAACTTTTAACTGCTATGCAGGACTATGTTTAAGCATACATCAGACTGATGTAAATGTGATACTCTACCTTAGTAAGAATTCTCCTCCTGCTATCATTTTGTCTACATCATGCACCAATAACCTGAGCAGTGTTCGGACATCTTCCATCTTGGACAGGCGCTGATTAATTATCCGGAAGAAGCTTTGCTGCACTGAGTCTAAAGACAGTAAAGCAAAGTATTTTGACAAATAAAAAAAACCCTAAAATTCTTCTGCAAGGAAACAAATGGCTATCACCTTCTAAATGTGGGAAGGATAAACACATAACAAAACCGAGATCTAAAATTATAAACTTCAAATGGAAATTTAGGTCTTACTGGAACACATTCACTTAAAGGCAATATATGCAAAGATAAGAAAGTTCTTTGCTCTAACCCAGAGGCCAAAGTAGTCTAAATGAATTAGCTGATTTTTAATCACCAAGAAACTTTAAACAAGTCACTTGAGGAATTATAAGTACAACCACAATGTGTGACCATCTATCATCTGGTATGTAAATTGGTGTATATCATCATGCCCATAATAACTTATAAATTCAGTTTTTTTAAAAAACTTAAAACTGTTGGCTTAAAATGTCAAGAAATGTGAAGAGATTTCAATGATAATGTCACACATCAATGATATTAATGGCCAGGTGAGGCAAGTTTCAAGTCAATGTAATTTAACAACAGCAAGGACAAAGTTCATTTCCAGTTCCCATGCCTATATTAATTTAAGAATGCCACTGCATACCTGCCAATAAACCACCAACAGGAGAAAAGTCCTTCTCCTTAGAGTGAGGATAGAAGAAACCCTTCTGAAACAAGAACTGTATTTGTTCCCTCTTCCATTCAACATCTCCCATCACAGCTGGCAGACCCAAAATCCTGCATATTCGAAGAAAAAACAAATATTTATGTAGATGAGGGCTGCAGAAGTTAACCTAAGCTGAACACCAAGAACTCTCAAAATAACTTTTGTGCCTATTTTGTAATGTTTCCAACTATATGTTACAGGAAATTTGCTTGTAATACTTATCTTATACTGCAGTAAAACTTTGTATTTATGTTCCTGTAATGTACGTTTTCCCATCATTAATATAATTCTTTTTCACTCTCATACATGTTCTTGCCACAATATGTCATTTCATTTGAATAATCTTGATTTTGTACCTTGTGTGTGAATGGCCAACTTTCCTTTTCAACTAATGAGTCAGTCATGACCATAGCATCGCTTCAGCTTTGATATGTGATTGTAAATTACCTTGCAAACAGATCTGCAGCATACATTCGTTCCTTATTATTCCAAGGCCTTGGCTCCTCCCCAGCCAACCCACCACTTTTTTCACTGGTGCCTGATATCACAGCTTTGAACAGACCTGCAATTTTCTTCACACCACGTGCCTTCAACATACCCAACAAATTTTGTATCACCTTTGTTCCTGGGGACAATAAGATATTCATATAAATAAACATATTCATGGTAACAAGGCAGTTTCTTACTTCTGTGGTTCTTGAATTAGCCAGTGCAAACACAGGATACTAATTTTTTCATCCTGTCAGATTTGAGAGACTGTTATGCATCAATTTCTGGAAAGATGTAAGTAGCTAATGGTTCTATTAATAAATGACAAATTACACAAGCATAAACAATATTATTAATCTTAGCATAGCACAACTGTGATTTAGGATTGTTGTGGAACATATTAATCTGAATATTATTTCCTTTCCTTGTCTTGCAGAATATAATTTTAAAATATAAATTTTCCATTCACAGCTTCTGAAGAAAACAGATTACACAGGCACCAGTGTTTAAAAGTCATCAAAAAAATATATGTATACCTTACCTGTTACTCTGTCAAACATGAACTCTCCACCAGTGCTGAAGGTTAGTTTTTTTATTATTGTTACAATAGCCTTGTCTTTAACTTCATTGCCCCTTAGATTTGACAGCATACACGATACAAAAACATCATAAGTCCTTGCACAAACACAGTCTGTTTTGGCCACTACTTTCTTTGCTAATTTTTCCAGAATTCTCACTACCATATCCACGAATCTTGGTGTTAACATGCTCGCAACCTACACAGAAAAAAAAAAACTATACAACAGATGTAAATAAAGAGTTTAACACATGACATACAGAGTCATATATTTCAGAAAATATGTACAGTACATCAACTTTCTAATACAACTGGCTCTGAAGATCTGACAATAATTTAAACATTTTCTGAAATTTACATGAACTATTGGTGGTACCTAGAAAAGAATACATGGATATTTTGGGTACCCTGACTTCAGTTTATGAAAAGACTGAAGTAGACTTCAGACATGTTACCTCACCATTCCCTGCCTACCTTAAAAAACATACCTGTGATTTATCTTCAATATGCTTCAAGACATAATAGAAAATTTCCACTGCTATATACTTTTTGCTTTCACTTGGTTTCTCAAGCTGCTCTTCAACACCCCGTTCCCAGAATAATGACAACAATGAAGACTTTGACAGCTGCTTGCAAAATTCTTCATGGACTGGATGATAGTAATCAGAGAAATTCCTAACAGTCTGAAATTAAAAAGCAAAATCAATTAAAGCCAAAAATTAGAATTCATACCTTGGCAGAATCATCAAGGAATGGAGTGACTGATAGTTTCAAAACAAGCCTTGTATAAAGGATACTGCTTTTGCATCTGTTCATAAATTAAATAAATATGAAATAAGAACTATTGTCCAGCACAGTTAATGAATTACCATATAAAATAACCCTTCATGATAGCTTTAAATGTCAATAAACCAATCTCTGACAAAGCTATTTCATAACAAATTTACCGAACTCATAGCCAACCGGTTAGTACGCCTGCTTAAAATTTTGGACTAGCTTAAAAAATACAAGAATCCTTCCTAATACATGACCTAAGATGCATCTACTGTTGTCTTCCACCAGCCCCTCAGAGCAAATCTTGAATCTAAGGGAAGGGCATAGAAATTAAATCTGGAGTGACTTCTATGGCACAAAGGCAATGATGAATCAAGAATGGACAAACACCAACAACGAGCTGAGACATGTTATAACACACATGTCAGCACATGCATTCCACCACAACATCTGCAAAAGAAAATCCTTCCAGTCCCCAAACAAAAGCTTTATCTGTAGGCTGTATGACTCCCTGTGATCAACACCATATACTAAGCTGTAACTAAGTAAGGAAAACCAAAATATACATAATGTATATACTTTATCATGTACTTATTTAAAAGCGTGTGCAAGAATAATGAATCCCTGTTACATTTTCCAACACAGGATGCTGACTTCACCATATACTTACTGCCATGACCATGGATACAAAAATCAAGTATGTAGTGCTATACTGAGAGTCAGGTACAGCAACACATAATACCAATCCTTCACCTGTCCCATGTGAAAAGAAATAATTCACTTACCATTAAAATTTTGGCACAAGTCTCTACAGAATCCTCATGAATTACTGCAGGGGTACCAATGTGGCTGAGCAAAAATTTCTTCTTCACAACATGTGGGTACAGATTGCGAGCCAAGAGCACAAAGTGTAATGTTTCCAGAGAAAGTTCAGTTAAAGGTTTTATTCTGCCTTTCAGAACAGGCCAAATGCAGTCTTGAAATGACTGTTCTTCAACCTGCATGGGGGGAGAAAAAAATAAAAGCTTGTTATATTATAAACACTTGTCCTTTCAACTGAAATTAAAATTCTTAAAGCACAGTTACCTTATTCAATAGTGCTATAAGGAAAGTGTGCGATGGAAGCACCAGATAACTTCTTTTAGACCCAGTTTCAATCATGTTAACGAAAATCTCAGTCTGTTCTTCAGCTGTACCTTTGAATAACAATCCCGATCTAATCAGGGCTCCATATATCAAGACATGCCCTGTGTAAATGTCAGCTTCTTCCTGCAAACAGTAAGAAACTGAAAATTAAGATTTTTCAATAAAATTTATTTTCAAAGATTTTCATATGATCAAATTGGGGATATAGGCAGAGCATGTAGCACACACAGATAAGAAACACATACATTTCATCAGACAACACAATGGCAAAATAACACTTGGAAGACCTATATGTAGAGAGGAAAACAATACCAAATACTAAAATTGATTCTGAAATGGGATGCAAGGGGGTAGAT